CTTAAAAAAACTTCTCACAACAAATAATTAAATGAGGGGGAGAATTACACACTTCAAAAAACTTCACAAAAGGAAAATTGTGACACATGAAGTAATAATTTCATTCAGGGGAGACTTACACACTTAAAAAAACTTTTCTGAGGGAAAAATTTGTTTCACAAGTAACAATTTCATTATAGGGAGACTTACACATTTGAAAAAACTTCAGAAATAAACGATATCATCTCACATGAAATAATTTCATTAAGGGGAGACTTACACACTTAAAAAAACTTCTCACAACAAATAATTAAATGAGGGGGAGAATTACACACTTCAAAAAACTTCACAAAGTGTATATTTTGTTTCACAAGTAAAAATTTAATTATAGGGAGACTTACACATTCAAAAAAACATTAGACATTTGTGTTCTAACACTGTTAGGAAATGGACATGTCAGTAACAGGTTCATTTTTTTTTTCTAATTGATTCAAAAGTTTTTAAATCAAATATTTTCATTCGTTTCGTTCATTGTTAAACTCACAAAAGAGCAAAACCTATTTTATAAATAAGCTTAAAAAATAACCTGGTGAAAGTTTTAACTTTTCCATTTCTTTTTCTGCATAAGAAGCTTTTAAAGACATTTTTTACACAGATTTTAGTTTTAAGCGTGAGAATAATTTTGCGCAATTTTTAGGCGGGTCAATCATACGGGCTTAAATTGTTTGCGTGTGTAATTCTCCCCTTCGTAAAATTCGATACTCGTATGGATGCCATTTTAAAATGTCATACTTTGATGTCGAGTTCATTGTTATTAATGTGAGTCTATCGGCATCGCATCCTTGTATTTTACATCTGTTGTCAATGTACTAGACCCTTTTGTACTAGACCCAATGTACTAGACACTTCTAGTAATTTTTCATAAGTTGGATAACCCCAAGGTGTTCAAAAACCATTACATCACAGCGATAGGCTAAACAGTTACTTAGAGCTTGCAGTAAGAAAGATGAAGGATTAGGTCCTGTAGGACAGTTAAAATAACCAATTTCGTGAGGTTTGAAGCAAGAGTATAAAAGATTTGCTAAAAATGTCTAACCTGAGTCTGATGGTCTACACAGTATAAGTCCCCGTTTCTTTTAATTTAAGTTGAAAATAAAGTTACATAATAACTGTTTAAGCCTATTTGAGATTCTGAGATTTAGTTAGATAGAAAAAACATAAAAGCACCCAACCTTGATTTGTTATTTGAAACAATTACTCTTGGTGTAAGGAAGTTTACGTTGCGCTGTTTTAAATAAACTTGACGGAATATTGTCTTTTAAATGATTTCCAAGTCTTTGAGTTGTATACTAAATTCTAGCTGGCGTAGTTCGTCGCTTTTTGCCAATTCATCATCGTAATGGTGGGAGTTCATAATATTGTTCTTAAAAAAGTTATCAGCAAAGTTGCGTTTTTGTTGTCCTCTAAGTGGTTCTCTGATTGTAATGATATTGTTATCATTACAATCAGAGAACCTTGCTACCGATGATTATTACAAAAATGCGGACGTTGCTACCGATAGTTACTACAAAAATGCGGTTAGATACGTGCTTGTTATCTTAAGCACGTATCTAACTGCATTTTTGTAGCAACCGTCGGTACCAACGTGCTCAACTTTAATACGGGCGTTACAGGTAGTACAGTGGTGTCCGTATCGCTTCCTGCGGATCTCCGCACATCCTCGGCATGTGTATTGGCGTGCTCTAAAGAATAAAGAATTCGCCTTCGGGTGAACGTTCCGCTCTTTCCAAAACAATGACGCGAGGATAACGTGCGTGTGTTTGATCTCATCGAATTTGGACGGCTTGCCATCAAAATACTTGCAAATGGTATGGGTATAAGAACATATGTCGAGGGCATCACACTTAGTTTCTTTTTGGTTGTACCAGATAGTGTGGGTAGGATTTCCTGTATGCATGACATGAAATATATCAAAACCCCGTCTTATTTCTTTATTACAACAAAGTAGTTTCTAAATTTAATCATTATTTGTTATATTATTAAGAAAAGATATACAAAATAATTTTAATATATCCTCTTTATTAAGTATTATTACCGAGTTATCCAGTTTCAGTTCATTACATCTACTTGTTCTGGTAACGTTGTCGCAGCATCCCTCTTCTTATTTTTCCTCGATCCATTCGTCATCTGAAGATCTCAATAACATTTGGCGTGCCTTCTTTGATTGCTTCTCCTTTGCTATTATTAGTGTTTGCAAACTCTTTTTGAACAGCATTTTCTATTTTTGTATGATCCAGCGTAGCTCTGTCATCTTCAGCCCCGTTGTTGCTTATTCCGGGTTGATTAATATCACTGTTTCTTCGTATTATTTGGAGATCTCTTGTATTTTCTCGTACGTCTGGTTATTCGATAAATATGTTACTCTCAATTGTCTCATCGCTACTAACTGCGCCGTTGTATTTTCGTCCTGTAATTGTGTAATATTCATTAGCGAGTTCTTTATATTCAAGTTCGTTTTGTCCTTGTTGCAATCGGTGTTCGATATAATTGAGCTTTCGCTTGGTATCTGGGGATTCAAGATTTTTGTCCAGCCGAGGAAAAGAAAGAGTCTGGGAGCTCTTTCTTTTCCTCGGCTGGACAATTTTCTCTTAGTTGTTCGTACATTTGGCATGTTAAACTCCAGTATAAATCGTTCGCGTATGAAGGATCTTGACAATACGAAGAATATTCGTCGCTTGTTATTTCGCTTCTATGTTCACAGTTTGTTGTTGAATTCATTACTGATAATGTTTTAAATGTTGTTTTTTTATGTTAGTTAATGATTGACGTTGTCATGGTTGATAATAGAAAAAAAAACAAAAAGATTATCCTTTTTTAACGGGGGATTAATGCTATTGTTCAAAGTGACAGTAATACGAAACATTTATAAATTCTTCTCCAGCCAACTATCCCGACCAATCCTTGACACACCCCCACCCCGCCCACTATGAGATCTCATAGTGGGCGGAGGCGGGGGTGTGTCAAGGGTTGAAACAACAACAATTACATATTTTATCAATCTTTACCATTAATTTAAATCACAGACTTTCTGAATGCATAAAAAATTCTCCCACTATGATGGCTACCTTGTAATATTATATATTATTATGAATATGTAATAATACATTACATAATTATTTCACATACTCAAAACATAGAACGCTGAAAATACATATAAAAAATACATATAGTCAAAACAATGTACACTGATAAAAACATTGTTCTAATTCATTTTTCTTATTCATTATGTTGCAATTATAACTATTACCGATTTCATCTTCTTTCACTTCAAAATACAAAAAATATTGTAATTTCTAGTTACTTAAATAAATAATCACAACATTTACAATTACTGTTACATTTACTGTTTTTACTAAAGGATTACTGTTACAGTAAAAAAAAAAAGTTGATAAAATTTAGAGATAAATAAATACTAGTTTAGCATCAAAAAGAACAAAAAATAAAAGAGTAGATAGGCATACACAATTGGTTGAGTACTTCGAGGTCTAAATAAAAATAAATTTAAATAAATGTGATTAATGCCAGTTGCTTGAATTGATAAACAATTATAAAGTTATATTAAAGCAGCTATTATAATCAACAATACTATATTACATTAATCTGATAATATTAATTTAATAGTAGTAGTTAATAGTCGACTTACGTCATTTTCCATCAAGCAAAAAAACCCTTTACTTGTTCCATAACAAAAAGCTGTTTTTAATACAGATCAGTGACAGAATTTAGCAAGCAGAAAAATCAAGGGGGTGTTAAAGAATGGCCAAATAAAAACTATCGTTATTGTTGTTGCTTTTTATAGCTATATATTACTATTGAGCCAGATTTGTATATTCAAGAAAAAAGAAATCTTTATTTGACTTATCAGAAATTTTAAATGTTATATCTAAAAGTTTTTATATTTTAAATATTTTTCAAATATAATCAAATAAAAAAAACATTTTTTTTTTGTGAATGTATATTCGATAAAGACTTAACAACTTATGGTTCCTTGCAAAATCACTTCAGCCTAAATATTTATTAACAATCAATAATGAAATGTAATTCAAAAAAAAAAGGTAATAAAGTTTATGTAGTAAAGGTTGTAAAGTTTATCACAGTTTATGGTAAAAAAATGTTGAAAAGATAAAACTTATTTTGACATAATATATCGTTGTTAGAAGGTCGTATATTTATTTGGAAGCCCAAAGTAAAATTGATTTTTATAACAATAAAGCTAAAATTAAATGTAGGGAAAATGATTAAAAGTAATGAGCCTCAGCAATCAAACTATCTAATAATCATTTTTAGCAACAGACACCAACTTGATGGTGAGCTAAGGAGTCTGTCATAAAAATGTTTGTGCTTTTTTAATAACATATGAAGCACATTTTAATACTGTCAGTCATGTAAATGTCATGAAACAACTGTTTTTTTAAGTAACAAAGAATGGCTTTGCAGTAAAAATGTCCAGTATCAAAAACTGGTTTTTTTCCCAGTTTCAAAGACTGTTTTTTTTCCAGTATCAAAGACAAATTTTTTTTACCAGTATCAAAGACTGTTTTTTTAACCATTATCAAAGTTTTCTAACCAGTATCAAAGACTGGTTCTCTAACCAGTATCAAAGACTGGTTTCTGGCTTAGCAACAACAAAAACAGTAAGTCAAAAATAAAATTGGCTGTGTTGTTATATGTCGAAATGTAGTTTCTCTAGTAGTATAAAAAAGTAATAGTTTATAAATTGAGTACATTTGTAAAAACAACATTTTGTGTGTAAAATTTGTTTAATGACATAACATCTAATGAATATTTATCAACTTAACATGCAACATATAACTGACCGTGTGAAATGCAAAGCATTATAAAATAAACACCAACTTGACCTTGACTTTTGTTTATGGTCATTGACCTTGACTTTTGTTTATGGTCATTGAGTATGCTAACCTAACTGGAAACTGACGACGTTTAAGTATAGAGGGTAAATGTTATTCCGATAGAGCTAAATGAACTCGAAGAACAAAGATCTTGTTTCCAGCTGCTACCCCTGTTAGAACCTCCCCATCAATATAATTGTTGTGCAGTGCCGGTACCATCAAACGTGTTCCATTACAAAGTCCACCTTTAAGATCTAAATTTCTAAGTTGAATTATAACAGCACTAATTTTCAATTTTAGGCAATGAACAGGCATACCTGATCCAGTCAATCTGTTTAAAAACTGGACTGGAAAATAATATATTTCATTATGATCACCAGTTTCAATGCTATTTAAACTTAAGTAAATTTTAGTATCACCAGGTAAACGATCAAAGACTTTTTCATTTATTGCTAATGAATCAACATTTGTTGATGGTAAAATAGCACGGTAAGCATAATCAGCTTCCTCTGCGCCATCAAAAATCTTTTCGACAATAGATTCGTTATTATTTACAAAAGCACTGCACTGAATACACCCTCGCAAAGGATCTTCAGGCTTGACAGGTAAAGTTCCACTTCCAAAAAAACCATTCAGAAAATTCCTCTTCTCCTATCTGAACCCTCATATTTTCAGTTAATAAAAACCTTTGCACATACTGCCAATGTTCAGAACATTTTGTACATGATTCTACAACTTCAGCTGGTAGACCTCTCTTTACAACTGGAAGTATTTGTCTAAAGTCTCCACCCATAAGAATAACTTAACCACGAAAAGGAAACTTATTATTACAAATATTTTGTAATAACTTATCAATGGCACACAAAGCATGTTTAGGAATCAAAGACGCTTCATCAAGTAAGTACAAACTTACTTGTCTAAGGAATTCACCATGAATAGAATTTGGAGTTTCGTTACATGTGGTATTTTCCGATATTGGCACAGGAAGTTTGAATAAGCCCTGCAATGTGAATCTATTTTAAAAGGAGTTGCAGCTATTACTGTTCGTTTGCTACTGTTCGTTTTGATACTGGAAGAGCCTTTTTAATGGAACCACCTACAAATGCTAATGCGCAACAACGTGAAGCAAGTGATTTTGAAATGTCATTCTTTGCAGCTGGTGATAATTCCCCCATTAATCTTACTGTTTTTCAGTCTAAACAAGATGCTGATATATGGTATACACAAAATTATGGTCATGACGGTATGACATATACTGAACCACCCACAAGAAATTTAACGTGTATTGCTTTCATTCAGGCGCAAGAACACCTGTTACAAGACGTGATCCGTGTTGGATGTCTAAAATTGCAGGACGCCAAACCTTTGGTTATTTTGAATGGAATCATTCCGCACATATAGATTCCCCATAGAGAGCTCGAAACGAACCATATTTAATAAACGAATCCTTTTACACGTATGAAGATGGTCCTTGGGGTAATTTGTTTGAATATAACGATGATCACGCTATGAAAATAGTCACCTACCCGAGATTTGATTATTGGATGGTTGGTTAGAACGAAATCACGTCCAATTTTTAAACTATGAAGCCGATTATGTTTTTTCCTGATTCATTAAAAGGTGGAGACGGTAATTTAATACCTATTAATGTAACATTTAATGTTGTTATAGAGCATGAAATTGAAGTTGTTATATCGGATAGAAATGGTTGGCCGGAAAATATATATTGCAACTTACAATTGGACTTTCGTCAATCAACTTTATTTAATGATCCTGATTTAAACAAAGACAGTTCAAAAACTATATATTATTTTACTGATGCATATCAAGGTGAAACAGCATGTCAACAATATGCAAGTTGGCATTATTATGTTCCACCTTGTTTTCCGATTGTATTAAATAAAATAAAAAATATTCCTTGATTAATTTTATTAAAATATATTTTGTTTTTATTTTACATACAAAAATTATTAATGTTTATTGTACAATTATTTAAAATTATTCTTCTCATTCCTAAAAATGGCATCTAGTTTGTTTATTTGCAGTGGTTCTCGTAACCGTTTTCTTTTTAGGTATATCTTTAGGAAAACCCCATCCTTCATGCAGGGTGGATGGGGCTTTAAAATTCCGCATGGTCAATAAATCATACATGTTTTTACAATTTCAAAAAGTTCAGGATCAACAGTTTAATCTGGAATTTCAGTTTATATTGAACTATCAATATCCTCTGCTGTTTCTAGCTTATCATTATTTACAAAATGTAATAAAACCTGTACATGTGCCAAACCACGTTTTTGAAACTAAAATAACCTCTACATGACTGAGAACTTTGCCTAAAACACTGTTTTGAAAATTATCTTCTAAGAAACATTTAAGCTTCATTTTAGATATGCGACTAAATCACCTGGATTTAAATTTTCTGGAATTTCTCTCCATTTTGGATTACAGGTAAAAGTAATAAAAAGATCTAGTTAGCCATATTTCTTTTTAATTGCCATTGCATTCTCAAAATTTTCTTTTAAAGCTCTTGGGCTTCCAACATATGAAGATGACAGTATAACAATACGACCTGGTCTCACGTCACGATTATTTGCAAAGTTGTTTATATGTTCATGTAATGTATCATAAGGTTGTAAAGGTCGTCCTTTGGTTATATCTGATGAAGGTTGTTCTTTGGTTATTTCTGATCAAGGTTGTCCTTCAACCTTGAGATATGCATTAACAGCATATTGTTGAAAAAGCTTCCTACCATAAAATATAGGGCTAAAGGTTTCTCTAACAAAAAGCCTATAATTGTAGTACGGAGACTAAGTAACATGTGTTTCTAACACGTGTTGCTCTGTCTGGATTGTGCCCTAGTTGATCATGTCATTCTGCATCACCTCTTGGAAAAAAAATTGGATATCATTAGATGAAGATAAGCAAACAAACTTAATATTTTTTTCAAGGCCTGACGTCGAGGGTGTACAATAACTTTTCTGGATGGAGGCGGAGCATCATCGTCTCCTACAAACACAATGGCAACTTCATCTTGTGAAGGTTAATTGTATCGACGTCTATTGCGACCTTCAAGCAATGACATTTTGACAATTAAAGTTGGGCGATTTTCTAATCTTGCTCGACGTATTTCTTCATCTTCAATTTCTGTTCCATTAACTCACGTTCCAAGTTCCATTAATTCACATTGAAAATTCCTTTAACTTACACAGAAAGTTCAGTTAACTTACGTATGCAATAATCATTTTACTCCATTCGAAATTTTAAGGCAGTATTGGGATCATAAACATTCAACTGACAATAACATGGTAAAACATTTTGATCAGGTCTCAGATTACCAACACGGTGCATAATTCGTCCACGAATCCTAAAACAGGGTGGGCCATATTCAAGGGAGAAGCTATTCCAGCTTCAAATGAAGCAAAGGATACACAGGCATTATAATTTCGAATAAGATTGCAGAAATTTTGATTTAAAGCATGATCGACATGGTTGCCTTTCATTAAATCCATTATTAGCGGTGGATATGATGAAAGTAGAGCTAACACAACTTTTCCTAAATGGCAGCACAAAAATTGTGTTTCATTTTTAAAAATTTTAGCACCACAATATTGATAAATATCGTTCATTTCTCCAAGGTAATTTTTCCCTATAATAATATTATTTCTTGCTATGCAATGTATTTCACGTTTAAGTTATAAACGCTTAGTTTCATTTCTTCATTTTCGCGACGATTAGTTTCTTTTCGCCTAGCCTCGTTTCGTTTATTTTGGCGACGATTAATTTTTTCTCGCCTCGCCTCGTTTCTTTCATTTTGGCGACAAATAATTTCTATAACTATAAAAAAAATTTATAACTAAATATTAAATGATTGTAAACTATTTTGTAAATAAAAAAAAAACATGTTAACTTTTCCAAACAAAAATTAATGAACATGTTATTTCATATCAACCATATGTAGCTGATATCTTTAATAATTTAAAATAATTTTTTTAAATATCTTAATGGAATAATATAGACATCGTATAGTGTATGGCAGTAGATATAGTGCTATATATATATATATATATATACATATATATATATATATATATATATATATATATATATATATATATATATATATATATATATATATATATATATATATATAAATGTATATATATATAAATATATATATATATATATATATAAATATATATATATATATAAATATATATATATATATATATATATATATATATATATATATATATATATATATATATATATATATATAATATATATATATATATATATATATATATATATATATAAATGTATATATATATATATATATATATATATATATATATATATATATATATATATATATATATATAAAATTATAGTAAGTAAACTGTCTAGTATTAAGATATTAGTAAAATTGAAAGAAATTTTAATAATTATACGAAAAAGTGTTAAATATCAGCATAAAAACATGTGAAACATCGATTGAAAAGAAAATTTGTAGCAAATCTAATTACAACCTTTACCGCATAGGAGTTTTTTTAAAAACTTAGATTATAAAATAATTAACAATTTTAAAATTCAAAAAAAATTAAAAATACTGGGAAAAAAAAACACAAGAAAAGATACCAAGTCGTAGTTTTTAGATTCGGAGGTATACGCGTTGAAACTACCTTTTTTTTCTTTTTTCGAGCAGTTTTAATATTTAGTAATAGTTTTTAAAATAATTAATCAAAATATACATTAACTTTATTAGTATGTTAAATTTTTTTTAAAATGGAAATCTAGGAGCATTTAAAAAAAACTTTTTAAAAAACTTTTTAAAATAAATAAGAACTTTTTAAAAAAAGATATAAATAAATTGAAACAAAAGGTTTCCTTCTTACCAGAATGTTGTTGTTGTTGAGTATCTGCTTTAAAAAAAAACAACAAAAAAAAAAAAGATGAAAAATAAATAATTCCGTAAAATAAAAAAATATTGGTATAGTAGCATAACAAATACGAAATAAGTTTTTTGTAGATTTGAGGAACTTGTAAAATGTATAGAAAAAAATTCTTACCAGGTTGTGGTTGCACCACTTAATAAAGTATTTTTTGATATATTCAGTATTAAAAGTAAAAAAATAATACAGACAACTTTAAAAAAATGTGGTTTAACTAAACTCAAAGAGTAAAGTATGTGGAAAGCAAATAAACAAAAAACCTTAACAAATAAATAAAAAAAGAAATCTGCGAGTTGATGAACAAATAAATAGGACTAAAATCGAATTACTGAAAAAGATGAAAGTAAAAATTTGTAGAAAGTTCTTTAAAACTTTATAAGTATTTTTTATTTTTCAAATTTTTTTAAAAAGGAGAGGAGGAAATTTGGCCTACAGTTTGAAATTAATATTTTTAAATCAGTTTCAAAAAGAGATATAATTTTTGCATTTTTTAAGTTATCTGGGAAAATACGACTTAAGGAGAAGTTATTATTAATGTAAAAAAAATTCTTGAAAGTTCTGTTTTTAATAGTTTTTCGGCACACTGTTTGGACCGGAAGGTCCAAACAGTCTGCGAAAACATTGTTTGTATTGGCAGAAGGAACCGGAAGCTCTAAATGCGCCTAAAGAATTGATTGTTTTTGAATTTCATGTTCTTCCGTAGGTTTTCGGTTTTGGAGTTATAAACGCGTCGAGCTTTTTTTATTGCTACTTTTTTTTTTTTTTCAATTAAAAAAAAAAATTCCAAAGATTAAATTATTCATATATGAAGGGCACAGGGTAAAAAGCAGACATGTCAAAAATT